ATCTCCTAACTGCCTGGGACAACTGACTGTCCCTTAATCGCTCAGTATATTTGTGCTAACCAAATAGGGATAGCTGCCCCATATTCTGGAAGCTTCCAGATGTAGGAATTATCTGAAAGTCCCTATCTCATTTCCAGCTTAAACCCTAAAGTTTTTTGTTGTTCAATTAAGCCCTAAGGGTTTCTAACCATTTACAAACTAAGGCAAACAGGAACCAGACGAGCAAAATAACAGAAAACAGATCAAATAACAAGCAGAAATACAATTAAACCTAGAGTATCGAGCATCTAAAAACCCTAGACTAATCCTAAACCCAACATAAACTCAACATGAATCAGACTGAAATGAGGCAGAGACAAAAATCATTAAGAAACTATTAGCAAAACGATTTTCATAGAAGTAGATTGCTGAACCCTAATAAGCAAACAATTCAGATGACAACCTAACGAATTCAACTAGGCACAACAAAAATACACTGTAATTGACCTAAAACATGCAAACTAAGTAGGACCAACAATTGTGAAAAAGAAATAGGAAAGAACAAATGATTGAACAGAGGTAGACAAAAATAATCACTGCTTCTTTTTTTCTCTTTTTAACCTTGCCTTATAACAATCAAAAATATCAAAATAAAACAAAGAAGACCAAGAAATACCCAATGAGAAAGACGGGCTGAAGCAGGGTTCTGGTTGCATTTCCAAATAGCTTGGAACTGATCCAAACTGATTGTTCTTGTCAAGAGCAATCTATTTGGATGAGCTTCGAACCAATCGATCAACTAAATTTGCAAAAATCCCCAAACATGCACACTAGGTTTTCTTGGACTTTCAGATCTGAGATTGAAAAGGTTTGGTGGGGATTTAAGGAGATCCGGTAAGGGGTTCGAGTTAAAGGGGGTGTATGGGTCATGAGGTGTGAGTTTTGGGTGGTTTTGAAGACTTAGGGTTTTTAGGTCTTGAACTCAGATCCGAAATTGGTGGATTTAGGTGGTGTTTTTGGGGAGATTGATGGCGAAATGGTGTTGGGAAAGGGCTCAGGGTTGTGGGGTATGGATTTGGGAGGTTTTGGAGCGCCGGAGCCGCCGTGAGGCGATTTCCGGTGAGTGGTCCACAGCGGAGGCGGCGAGGGTGTAAGGGGGCGGCTAGGGTTTGGTTTGTTTAGAGAGGGAGATGGGAACTGGGAGGGGGG